TTGTAACAACACTATGCTTTATTTATACACAAAACTTTTAGGTTCGCTCGCGGAGTTGGATCTCGCCGTTTCGTAGCCGCTTGACGATGATGGTGCGGCCGGCGGTGTGGTGGCGGTAGCGCTGCCCTGGACGGATGCGATGCCAGGGTACGTCTCGCAGGAGGCCGTTGAACCCGTCTCCGTTGTCGCCGGTAAAATATCCGTACCCCGGCGGCGGTCCTGGTGGTTGGTCCGCTACGGACGCTGGATCCGGTGTCGCTGCCGGTGTTGGCGGCGGCGTTGGCAGCTCCGGTGGTGTCGCTACGACCGTTGTGGCGGCTGGCTCGGCGGTGGTTACCGGCTCGTCCTCCAGGTCCGATAGTGAGCCGAAGAGGTTCTCGAGCTCTGAGGCGAGGGCGGCGCTTGCTTGAGTGGCCGTTCGGTACAGCTGCTCCTGCCTCGAGACGGTTGTTCTCGCTCGTACGACCGCGGGTGTCCGTCCTCGCTGTTCGACGCTTACCGAGGCGCGGGCCGTCCGTGGTCTTGCTTCGGCGGGCGGCACGTATCGGGGGGCCTGCGGCGTCAGTCCCGGTATCGGTGGGTGTCCCGGGGCTCTTCTCCGGGGAGCCATCCTCTCGAGCCGTGCGCGTAGCTTGCCCATGCTGTAGCTTTCTTTTTGGTGATCGGTGCGAGTGCTCCCTTATATACCCTGTTTCGTTTGTTTTTGTGTGACGTTACACCCCCTTGAGATCCTTCACGTGGGCCGTCCCCACCAGTCGATTGTTGTGATCCCGTAGTCGGTATATGACCGGCGAGATTGCGCGGTCAACGGTATACGGGCCGGAGTATTTTGGTGCCAATTTGCCCGCGAAGTGTTCGCCTGCTTTAGATAGCGGGTGTTCTCGGCGCATGACCTGGTCTCCGGGAGCGGGGCGCCATTCCCGCCGGCGGAGGTTGAAGTAATGTTCCTGGCGGTCTGTGGAGTCCCTTTGTCGTGCGGTGGCGGTCGCGGCTTCCTCTGTCATCCTGTCTAGCTGTTGGATGCGTCTCGTGGTGTCCGTTTCGTTCGTGTCGTCTGCTAGCGGTGGCTGGCACTGTGCGTGCATCGTTCCCGGGGCAGTGAGCTCGCGTCCGTAGGTTAGTCTGGCCGGGGTAAACCCGGTGCTTTCCTGTACTGCGGTGTTCATTGCGAAGACCAGCTCCGGGAGTTTCTGGTCCCATCGTCGGTGGTCCCTCTCGATACTCTGGGCGATCATTGTCTTTAGCGTCCTGTTTGCACGTTCCACCGGGTTGCATTGTGGCGAGTACGGTGGTGTCTTTCGATGCTGTATGCCGGCCCGTTCGAGTAGTCCGCGGAATTCTTTGCTCTCAAATTGTCGCCCGTTGTCTGTGATTATCCTCTTGGGGCAGCCGTGTTGGAGGATGATGTTTTCCCGGACTACCTTGGTTACTGCTGTGGCGGTAGCCTGCCTGAGCGGTTTGGCGGTAACCCATTTGGTGAACGTATCCTGTGCCACGAGTATCCACGTATTCCCGTCCACGGAGCGTGGTAGTGGTCCGATCAGGTCTACTGCTACGACGTTTGCTGGTTCTGTCACCTGGCTATGGTGCATGAGTCCGGCTGTTTGTTGCTGTTGCACCTTATGGAGTCGGCAGCTCTTGCATTGGCGTACGTACTTTGCTGCTTCCCTTGTCATTCCCGGCCAGTAGTAGTGTTGCATGAGTCGGGCGATCGTTTTGGTGATCCCGAGGTGTCCTGCTGTGTCGGCGTCGTGGCATTCCTGTAGT